GAACCTAAAACCGTCATTTGTTCATTTTCTCACTGTTTAGCAAATTTTTTACCTAAATCATAGTTTGAGTCCCAAAATCATGATTTTAGCTATTTGCCGCACAGGCCAAAGCAGATGAAATTCGAGGGCCGACATTGAATTAGGAATTAAAGGAGCTCAATTAAATGACACACAACATGGACTTGACGTGTGATTGATGCAACATTTATGTGTGAAACTCTCAACAGGTGACGTTTTTCAAAAAGCAACTTGGTCGGCCATTTTATGGGTTATCTTGTCTTGCATTGCATGTTTCACATTAGAAGTTTAAACCGTCAAAAGTTGCATTCATATTCCTTTTATCTTCACAAGAAAATGTGAGAAATTTTTTGCCGCTTAATCTCTCCCCTGTCAATTTTCTTACGGGAAAAAGACAAAAAAAAAAAAGATAGTTGAATAATGAAACTTCCAAATAGCCATCTAAATAAACAAAATTTCAGTTTAGATATAAATAACTAAATTAACATTTATAAATTTACTGATATGACCATATTATTTTTAAAAAAAAAACAAACAAACACCCTCACCTGTTGGTCTGTCATTAGAGCTCAGATGCCGACAACGACGGTTGAAGTTTAGGTGGGCCACAGGTCACCAACGGGTCATCGAAGCTTCAGTGGCTAATAACTTTTTTTTTTTTTAATTTTTTCAAGTTCAGTAATGTGATTAACAAATTCTTTAACAATATTAACAAGTTCAATATAGTAGTTAACAACTAGTTTTTCAGAAAATTTAAAAAGTGATATTTTTACAACTTTACTCATACGATTAACAAGTTCAGCATAACATTTAACAACAAATTTCTGAGAAATTTAAAAAGTGTATTTTTACAATTTCAAGAACTCGATTAACAAGGCTTATAACGATACTAACAACTCTCATAATGCTATTAACACCTCTAATAATAAGTCATGTAATGATATTAATGACTCTCATAATCATACTGGCTGACTAATAAATGGGAAATTTTCGTTTTACAACATTCATGGGGAGTTAATATTAAAAACATCAACTTTCATAGGAAAATTTTGTATTGGCGCTATGAGAATTGTTAATATCGTAACGTTACATGACTTGTTAGCCGTGTTACTAAAGTTGTAAAAATGCCACTTTTTAAATTTTTTTACAAACCTGTTATTAAATACTATACCGAATTTATTAATCTTGTTATTGAAGTTGTACAAATGCTATCTTTTGAATTTTTTTAAAAAACTGTTGTTAATTACTACGCCGAACTTGTTAAAAATGCCAAAAAACTTGTTAATTGTATTACTAGACTTGAAATTTTTTTCCAAAAAATAGTTGTTGAATGCTGGAGCTTCAAAGACTAGTCATTGGAGCTCCGACGAGCGGCTAACCGATAAGGGTGTTTGATTTTTTTCTTAAAAAAATGACAATATAGTCATTTCAACAAATTTACAAATCTCAATTTGATTACTTAAACTAAAATTTTACTTATTTAAGTGATTATTTGGGGATATTGAAATCTAGGAATAATTTTTCTGTCATTTTCCCTTTTCTTATTAATTGTATTAATAAATTAATATTATGCCACTCCTTCATCCTAGCTATTTTTCATTCTCACAACTTAGTTAAAAAGGACTCTTTTAATTACCTTATTTTTAACTATCGATGCCTTGACCCATTTTTTATTTTAGAAACAAGAGAATTGAAAATTTTGAAATGTACTATCAATTAAAACTTAAAAAATAATTAATGTAAAACTGTTCAATAGTTCATGATGAATTTAAATTTGAAAATATAGTTTTAAAAACTTTTATTTTTAACAGTGTATTTGTCTTTATTCCAATTCCCTAAGGGTGTGTTTGGTTTGAGGGGAGGGAAGGGGAGGGAGGAGAGGGAGAGGTAGGGGAGGGGAGGGGAGGTTTTATCCTCACCTTGTTTGGTTTGATTAAAAAGGAGGGGAGGGGAGGGTATTTAATGATCCCTTGTTTGGTTCAAGGAGGGGAGGGGAGGGATAGTAATAATCAATTTACCATTTTACCCTTACATATTAGTTTATGTTTTTTATTGATATATTATATAAATTAATTTACATCTTAATTTAAATTATATAATTTAATAAAAATTCAGTCTTATCATGTTAATATGTGTATTAAAAAATTGGTATAGTAATTTTTTATTCTAATTAATATAATAATATATTTAAAATAATCAAATTAACAAATTTTATATGCTCTAAGAAAAATGAAATTTTATTTTCTTTAGGCTGTCTTTTTTTCCAGCTTTAAAATATATTTAATAAATAATATATTTATAAAAAACAAATAATTTTTTATTTATAAATAATTTTTATAATATATTTTTAATTATAATAATGTATATATTTTTTATTTTTTTACTTAGGATAATATATTTTTTATTTGAAATAAATATTATAATAATATATTTTATGAGTAGAAATGGAATATTAAAAAAACCATAAGGGCATAATGGTCCAAAATTTTGGCTCCCCTCCAAAAACCCCCAATTTGGAGGGGAGCCAAAATGGGGGAGGGGACATTTTAGCTCCCCTCCCCTCCAAAATTTTTAACCAAATGAGGGGAGGGGCTCATTTTCCCTCCCCTCCCCTCCCCTCCCCTCCCCTCCAACCAAAAGAAATATTCATAGACTAACGCTATGTTTGGCTCGATGGAGGGAAGGGGAGGGGAGGGATTTTAATCAAGGGAAGGGGAGGGGAGGAAAGGGGAGGGTAGCTACAAAGGGGAGGGGAGGGAGGGGGAAGGGAGGGGAGGGGAGGGAGGGGGAAGGGAGGGGAGGGATTTTAATGATCTCCTGTTTGGATTGATTGGAGGGGAGGGGAGGGAGCAATTTTAATAATACCTTATTTTGTTCTAATAAAAAATTGACTATTTTAGCCTCATAAAATTTAAATGAATTTTCTCACTTTTTATTTTGTTAAGATATAACTATATATATATAATACAATTCACTAATTTTGATTTACAAGATAGAGTCACACACTTATAGAATATCAAGACAAAAACTCACAAGTGATAGATTTCAATCAGAGAAAAGACCTTGAAGGTGAAAGAAAATACCAACGGCCTCTTAGAATTAGAAGAAGAGAAAAAAAGTTTACAAATGCTTACTAATTTTGGAGATAATTATCTTAATAACCTCTTATTAGATGCTCAAAAGAACTCTCTTATGTAGAAATGTTTATGACAGATTAGAAGTTAACAAATTAAAAGGGTATATAAGGAATTAAAATATCATCTCTCGTCTCCCCTCCAAAAAACCCCACTTTTGGAGGGGAGGCTAGAAGGGAAGGGGAGGGGAGAAAAACCCCTCCCCTCTTTAAAAAATATCTTAACCAAACGAGGGGAGGGGAGGAGCTCCCCTCCCCTTCTAAAAAATTATACCAGCCAAACAAGAGGAGGGGAGCAACTTCCCTCCCCTCCCCTCCGAAAACCCCGTAGCAAACATAGCGTAAGACAAGCGAGTTGGAGCGTTTGAGTGCTCCATGCATTTTTTTCATGAAAAACAGCTCGTGTCAGAACTCAGAAGTATCCAGAAGTTTTTAGATAAACACATAATATTAAAAAGAATTCAATTCTCTGTCTTCACAAAAAATGCGACTCTAATAATAAAATAATTCAACAGTAAATAAAAAGTATTTTGTTGGGAAAAAAACAATTCCATTTTGCATATTATATTATTAACCAAGGTGAAAAGAAAAATCCTAAAAGAGAAATAATAAACAGTGTTTGAAGAGGAATCTATTCTAGACTTTTCCTCAACAAAGAATAATCATGATGCTTTTTCCTTTTTTCATTTTTTTGCCCACCGATGTTATGAGATTCCACTTTGCCCCAAAAAAAAAAACGACAATGGAGAAACGGGAAAAGAAAAATATGGTAGTGCGCTTATAGCGAAAGATTATGTTACGTTCCTATTGCTATACTGATAGCCTATCAAAAACCCCACAAAAGATATTCCTAGTCAACTCAATATCGTCTCATTCAAACCCGCCATAATCACCACCAAAGCCTGCTTTTACTCATTACAAAATGTTGAATTATTTTTATTATTTTTTGCCCTTTTTTTAAATTAACTTATATTAATATACTACCAAATCTAAAGACTTTTTAGGTCGCCGCTGCATTTAATTTTGATGCTTCCAACTTTGACTCTCTAAAATAATTCATTCAAAAGGGTCCCTTTCTTTGTATATTTTTCCTCACTTTCATGTCCATTACAGTGTCCTTTACCACTGTTCATGGCAGAATCTGGATTTGACGGACCAACTTGATCAGTGAAATAATACTTATCTGGAATTACCCCAGTTGTTACAGTTTCAAATTGTCTTTAAATAAGTGATTAAAAATTTGATTTTTAATTTGTCGGAAAAATAAGTTTTGCGTAGTCCTTTTTTTCCCCCCTGAAAAGCATGATGAGTTGATTACCAGTGCCCACAGTTTCAAACTTGTGCCTTTTGTAATCAGAGAAAGCTTTGCCTTTTGAGGAGAGGGGGGGGGGGGCTGAAAAGTTGTTTCACACCATAACATTAAACCCTTAGAAAAGTAAAATAGTAGTTTTGTGATTTCAAACGGTGGGTGGTTTTATCAGCGAACAAGATTGAAGTATTGAACTCTTATACATTTATATATTTCTGTAAGATCAAGTTGGTTCTAAGCAGCCGAATATTTCTGGACTACAATATAGAGAAAGCAACCTAATTTTTTTTTATCATTAATTTATTGATAAGAAGAAGAACGATACAAACACTCAGGTAAAATTATGGAAGAATTCTGTCTCACGACTACGACTTCCAGAAACTAACAAATGGCTCACAATTAAGATCCAGCACAATACTTTATTATCTTTTTTGCATTTGAGATTTTCATTTTGAAAGGAAAAGAATAAAGGTGATAAGTTCGGTTTTTGGTGGATAATTGGTCGCACTTCGACCGGCTCTTGAAGGGTTTCTCGCAAAAGCTTCATTTTTAGTCCCTTTTACAGCAAAAGATTGCAGACACCAATTTTGCCGGCAGATTTTCAGAGCAATATATTCCCCTCCTCTTTCTCATGGCCATGTGTAAATCTTCATTCTCTTCTCAATAGGACGTAAGCCCTATCATACCATTCCCACCAACCACACACCAAAGCTCTGATTTCGCTCTCTCTGTCTCACACTCTTTCTCTGCCTGTCCTTCTCTCTGTAAAACTCACGCAAAATATTTCTTCAAGTCTTGAGATTTTTATTCCCAGTCTTATCATCTCATTATTTGTTACTTTTCGTGTTTGTTACTGCCCTCTAGTCGCCATTGATGGGTTGTTCAACCGTACGAGACTACTTCTCAAATAAAGGTAGACCATAGGCGTTTTCTTGTACTTTTTTATTAAAATACTGTGCTCAGATTTCGTCTGTATCTTCCGGGAAGGGGCGTTTTCATTAGTCGTTCATCGTTGAATGCCTTTTATATTTTACTCCGAGGAAAAGCGGGTTCCTTGAACTTGTTCAAATCCCCATCATGGATCTGGGAAGCTGCTTCCCGGAGAAGAAAATAATACTACAATTTTAAATATAAAGAAATAGTGAATCTTCCTGAAGTTGTCATATATTAATTAATTAATTCATTTAATTCATTTATACATTTAGCTCAGTGTTTTACCTTTGTAGTCTTCAATTGAGGAGGCCGTTTCTTCTGCAATTGGGGGGCTTTTTAAAAATTACAATAACAATGCTCCTTCTAGATTTCTAGAAGCACATGCCATGGATCTGGAAGCTGGAATTTCTAAAAATTATGTTGCTAAGGTGAGTTGGGCATATCTGTGAATCTGATAAAAGTTTGCTTGCTTCTCCCATCTGGGTTGTTTGTTTTTAATCCGAATGTTGTGTTTCTTTTTGTCGTAGAAAGAATCGTGGAAGACGGTTCTGACTTTGGCATACCAGAGCCTCGGAGTTGTCTATGGAGATTTAAGCACTTCACCGTTATACGTATACCGGAGCACATTTGCTGAAGATATTGGACACACAGAGAGCAACGAAGAGATTTATGGCGTCTTGTCTTTGGTTTTTTGGACTTTAACGTTGGTCCCGCTGATCAAATACGTGTTCATCGTTCTCAGAGCTGACGATAATGGCGAAGGGGGTACATTTGCTCTGTACTCTTTGCTGTGCCGGCATGCCCGAGTCAACTCGATGCCTAATTGCCAGGTGGCAGACGAGGAGCTTTCTGAGTATAAGAAAGATGGTTTTTGTAAGGCTCCAGAGAGAAGCTTTGCCTCGAGATTGAAGGCGACGTTGGAAAAGCACAAGGTTTTGCAGAATATTTTGCTTGTTCTGGCTTTGATCGGAACGTGCATGGTGATTGGTGATGGCGTCCTCACACCTGCTCTTTCTGGTGATTTTGATCAACATATTTATGATTAAATTAGTTTGAAGTAGGAATTCCTAAATCCTTCAGTCACTGAGTTTGTTTGATAATTGCTTGCAGTTTTCTCTGCGGTTTCGGGCCTTGAGCTTTCTATGTCCAAGGAACATCACAGATGTATGTTCACCAAAACTCTCTCTTTGTAATTGGTGCTATTAATCGAGCTATTAGATCTTAAATCCTTTCTTGCGTATGCCCACATTTGCCCAGCTTGTTGGTGTTCCTTACTTCCTTATTACTAAAGTGTGTACTGAAGATACTGCTGATGTATGCTCTTGAATCAAATTATTCTAATTATTTGTGCAATTTGAAGGGCAAGTTACTTGGCTATAAGTACTTTATAATATTGAAAGTTATAAACCAGATAACAAACATGATAACTTCTGATATGGCTTCTGATGTTGCAAGAATCTTCATAAGAACAGCGGCAGCTGGTTAGATGGGTCTTTCCTGACTTACATGCCTCCAATGCCTTTTTCACTGCTAGTTTATAATTCCAGCCTTATTTTTTCTTGTTCGTTTTGGGTGGTTTATAACTGCATCAAAGGTTCAGTTATTTAATAGTTTTATTTTTAAAAAAAAAAAGAAGAAAAAGGAAAATTTAAGTTGTTTCTCTGATAAATTTTTGATTTATGGTGTTTACCCATCATGTTGTGCACTTATGATTTCTCTGCATTTTGAATTTTGATCTCAATCCCACTCTTTTCTATTGTCTGAGACAAGATACGTGAGCCGCTGTTATATTACTCACTCTCAAAAGTTGATACCTGGCAGATGTAGAAGTCCCGGCTGCATGCCTCATACTGATAATCTTGTTTGCCCTCCAACATTTTGGCACGCACAGGGTTGGCTTCTTGTTTGCTCCTATAGTGATCACATGGCTTTTCTGCATCAGTGCCATCGGTATATACAATATATTTTACTGGAATCCTCATGTGTATAAAGCCCTGTCTCCTTATTATGTTTTCCAATTTCTAAGGAAAACACAAAAAGGAGGTTGGATGTCTCTTGGTGGAATTTTGCTGTGCATAACAGGTTCGTCCGTTTGCCTGATGTATCAACTTTGGTTTTTTTGTCAATATTCACATTGCCCTCTAAGGAAACTCTTCAATTTACAGGATCAGAAGCCATGTTTGCTGATCTCGGGCACTTTTCACAATTATCAATCAAGGTATTCTACTTTATTTCTGGCTACCATTTGATATAGGATTAAGTGGATCAGCCTTCTGCTATTTAGCAATTGAGTTTTGTATTCCTTTCATGGGCCTGTCTTATGCATAATGTTCTTAAAATTCTCAGAGCTATCATGAACCTTAGCATACTTTCATAATGTGATTGGATCTAATAGGCATCAATTGTTGGTATTTCAGTGAATAAATCTCCCTGAGTTAAGAATAAGGTCTAAAAGTTGGGTAAAATTTCTCCGGCTTACTCCATTTTTTGCCTGCAGATTTGTTATAGGAAGATGAAATAGAGTAAAGTTGATGGCATTGTGGAAAGAAGAGAATGGCCAATAGTTATATTCCTGACATATGTAGTTTCTGATGTATAAATTTATATATTTATACTAATTGAAGTTGCAAGTGAAAGTGGTACTGATCTCCTATGTATTCATGATTTCATTGGAATATTTCTTATTATTTGGATGAGAATTGTAGTTTCTAAATGTTATTGACTAGGAATTCTTTTGCATATAGATGCATATCCAGTAACAAAGCTAATGTCATCAAACACCGAAGTTGGGTGTAAATGCGGCATTTTAGTTGCTTTTGGTTAAAGAGCTAAAGGGATTACTTATCCGATCTGATGCATGTTCAATTTCTGCAGATTGCTTTTACAGCTGTGGTTTATCCATCTTTAATTCTGGCATATATGGGTCAAGCCGCTTATCTTTCTAAACATCATGATATTGCACATGATTATCACTTCACATTTTACGTATCTGTGCCAGGTAGGTATCCTAACTTGTTCTTTACGTGGAAGTAAACTAATGAACATGATTGAACAAGTTCTCGACTGATTGGTATTCTTCACTCCCATGCATTTCAGAGAAATTAAGATGGCCCGTTCTGGTGATAGCTATACTTGCTGCAGTTGTTGGAAGCCAAGCCATCATCACTGGAACTTTCTCAATCATCAAGCAGTGTTCTGCATTGAGTTGCTTCCCAAGAGTCAAAGTGATACACACATCATCAAAAACCCATGGCCAAATATATATCCCTGAGATCAACTGGCTACTAATGTTCTTGTGCTTGGCTGTCACAATTGGTTTCAGAGACACAAAGCGCTTAGGCAATGCCTCAGGTAACACAACGACTGAGAAATAGCCAACTGTATCAAGCTGATGCAATTGCTTATTCAGCCATGAATCTGACATAATGTCCCTATTCACGACAGGTCTGGCAGTTATTACAGTGATGCTGGTCACGACGTGCTTGATGTCTCTAGTGATCGTGCTATGCTGGCACCAGAGTGTTTTTCTTGCCATCGGATTTGTTTTCATCTTTGGGACAGTTGAGGCTCTCTTCTTCTCAGCTTCTCTTGTCAAGTTCCTGGAAGGAGCGTGGGTGCCAATTGCTTTGGCGTTTGTATTCCTTACTGTCATGTATATTTGGCACTATGGCACTCTTAAGAAGTATGAATTTGATGTTCAAAACAAGGTCTCTATCAACTGGCTCCTCAGCATAGGTCCCAGCATAGGTATTGTTCGAGTCCGTGGCATTGGCCTTATCCACACAGAGCTAGTATCTGGAATTCCAGCAATCTTCTCCCACTTTGTGGCCAACCTTCCAGCATTCCACCAGGTCGTCGTCTTCCTCTGCATCAAACACGTCCCAGTTCCACATGTCAGACCTGAGGAACGATTCCTGGTGGGTCGAATTGGCCCAAAGGGCTTCAGACTTTATCGGTGCATTGTGCGATATGGGTACCGTGATGTCCACAAGGATGACATCGAGTTTGAGAAGGATCTTGTGTGCAGCATAGCAGAGATGATACGAACCGACACAGAAAGATCCAATGCTGCAAACGAAGAGGCTGAAAAGGATGACAAAATGACAGTTGTTGGAAGCTGTCCTTCCCACCCAATTTTGATGAGTGATGAAGATACATTGGACAATAACAGCAGTGATAGCAGCTTAGAGTCAGCCGGACCTTTGACAGAGGTCAGGGAAATAAAGTCACCAAAAGCGATCCAACCAAAGAAAAGGGTGAGGTTTGCCATACCGGAAAGTCCAAAGATCGATAATGGCATTAAGGAAGAATTGGAGGAACTGATGGAAGCGAGGGAATCTGGGGTAGCCTACATTATGGGGCACTCTTATATGAGGGCAAAACCAGGGTCCAGTTTGATTAAGAAGCTGGTAATTAATTTTGGCTATGAATTCTTGAGAAGGAATAGCAGATCACCTTCCTTTGTAGATAGTGTACCTCATGCATCATCTTTGGAAGTAGGGATGATGTACCAAGTTTAAATTTTCCCCCCTTTTCCTATTTAGTTTTGCACCTGTAAATGCGTCATGTTCAGAGTCCTAAGCCACCATCTTCATGAAGTGGTGGATGAAAATAGTGTATAAATTTTGGTCCTTTTTGTTATAAATTTTAGTCTTTTTTGTCGTTCCAATGGCTTGGATCGTCTCCCTTCCTTTGTGTTGCTGTTTGTCAGATAGGCATTTCAGTGTCATATACTTTTGGTGAGATTTTCAGTCTTTCTAGTTTGAAAAGAAAGCAAAGGGCAATTCATATTCTCCTTTTGTCACGTCCCCAACAAAATTTAACGTCAAATTTAACTCTGATGGTTGACGTAGATCGATGGAACTCAACAATGTTAGGCTGTGTTAAATGATGGATCATGTTGAATGTTTTTGAATATCAAGTATAGTTTGTCCATGCACGCACGCACGCACGCGCGCGTAATTAATTAGAGACAAAAAATTAAAAAAATTAATTAAAATTTTAGCCAAATACAAATCATTACTATGCGATAGAATATTACTTACATGTATGGCTGTGCGCAGTATCATCTCATTTTTTTAGACAACGTTGTGCGCTCTGAACATAAGGGATTGACTAGAATTAATTAAAATGTGCCCTTTGAGGTATTTAATACCCGCCTCAGGCTTTGTGCATGCCATAAAAATTCAAAAAATAGTACTACCTCCGGTTCTTAATATAAGATCCTGTTTGATTTTTATTTTGATCATAAATATAAGACCCCAATCCACTTTGTCTCTCATATTTAATCAATTTTTTTCAAGATAATCCTTCTAATAATTATAGTTTTACTTAATACACTTGATTAGTAAGGATATTTTAGGAATGACAACACCTATTTAGGACAAATAACTAACTCAACTTATTTCTTTAATCTCCTCAAATTAGTTAACTGGCTCTTATAATTAGGATTGGAGGTAGTAATAATTATAAAACTATAATAAATGTTTTTTTTGGGGGTTAAATTAAGAATTTTTAAACCCTTGTCACTATCTAAGCCCCTCCAACATTTACCATCTAAGCTAGTAACAAGTAACAAATATGGTACTCCCTCCGTTCCTTATTATAAGAGACGAATAACCGAATTACGTTGATAAAAAAAGCAGTTAAAATTAGTTAAGAACAATCAATATGTAAAAAATATAATTTTTTTTCCAAAAATACCCTCATTAATAAGGAGAGAGAGCATGAGATAGAACAATTAAATTATTGAAAGAAAGAGAAGTGGGAGGGAGAGAGAGTGTGAGTTGGAGACAATAAATATGGGTAAAATAGGAAATCAACACAAAAAAGTAGAGATAACTTTTAAGTGTCTCTTATATATAGGAACATGCCATTAGTATCAAATGTCTCTTATAATAAGGAACGGAGGGAGTAAATACTAAAGAAGGGTGAGATGAGCTATCGTTTTTTGCTTTTTGGTCCAAATTCTCTCATTTCATTATCAATATCAAATGGGCCATAAGTTGTGCTTTAAGGCTTACTAATTTGGGCCACACTAGTAACTTATTCAACCGGAACGGACCTTGTACCCAAAAAAAACAAAAGACCTATAATGGACCTTGGGTGTGTGCGTGGGATGTGAAATAAACCATATTGCTTTAAGGTTATTATGATTTTAATAAAAAAATTTATAAACATTGATTATTTTATCATTTTAATATAAAAGCATAAAAATGATTTTACATTCATTCGCAGATATCTTTTATATATATATATATATATATATAGACACACACATATATATATTTCCAGATTATCACAGACAAACAAATGTCTAGAAAGTAAAGGCGGAACGTAGATGAGAAGGTAACATCATCATCAACATCATAATAATAATAATAATAATGGGAAAAAAAACATTGTCCCCAAACCCAAATAAATTTTTGAGTTATGATGCATTCAACATCCTGAAAGATTTTCTTATACTACCTCTGGTCCTAATTATAAGACCCAGTTGACTAATTTGAGGAGATTAAGGAAGTAAGTTAAGTTAGTTATTTGTAACAAATAAGTGTTGTCATTCCTAAAATATCCTTGCTAATTAAGTGTGTTGGTTAGAACTATAATTATTAGAAAGACTATCTTGGAAAAAAATGCATAAATATGAGAGACAAAATGGATTGGGGTCTTATAATTAAGACCAAACTAAAAGTCAAACGGGGTCTTATATTAAGGACCGGAGGTAGTATTTATCTAATACTCTCAAGTATTTTGTGATTTATCCAAAATCTTGAAGTATTTTTCATGATACAACTTTACTTTAAAGTACTTGATGCACATTCATTTAAAATTTTTTTTGCTAAGTTAATGATGATGTTAAAATTGCTCCTAAAATAATAATTTAATGGTACGATTACTTATATAAATTATTATTTAAAGGGCAAAATTAGATCACAAAATATTTTATAGTGCTTAACACTTCTGGAAAAATACTTAAGGTGTCATGTGAGTTACGAAATAATTTAAACTACTCGTATTAGACACACTGAAAAAATACTTTAAGATGTTGTGCACATGTTAATCCTAATTTTTGCAAACTCAAATTCATTGTATAAATCCCATTAAAAAACTATTGGGTCCTAAGATATTCATGTCAGATGTAACCGTGAGATGATCAAGTTCCATGAAGAATCAAGCTCTCTCTTTTTTTTTTTTGGATATAAATGAAGCTCTCTTTTGTTAGTACCTTTTAGCATTTAAGTCATATTTGTATAATGTGGCCCAATGATCTTACTCTAAGGAAAAGGACTCAAAAAGTTTGGCCCAATTATCTAATTGAAGCTCAGAATAATACAAAGAATTGGCTGGATTTGTCGTCAGGTGTAAGAAAGCTAAACTTTTAATTTTTTTAAAAACTTTTTTATATAACTATATGATATTGAGCATCATTAAGTTAGATCTGAATATCAGAGGCAACTTTCCAAAGGATTTTTTTTTTATCTTTCTTTTTTTTCCCCAGCTCGCCTGAACCCGAACTCCAAATTTCGTGAATAAATTATATAACCCACTTTATAGGCACTAAGGCTGGTGAGTTTTTAATTATAACCCGCACACACATTATAAATACCATTTCGCCCTCAAAAGAATGTGATAATATAACTGAAGAGACAGGGGGCATGTGGTCATTTTCCGCATGAATTTCTCAATATTTAACTTATAAATAGTTCGTTACCAACGGGATCAGTTACTTTATGGTCATGAATATCTTAAGGTGTGGAAAATGTGGGAATGTTAGGTACGGGTGTATTAAATAAGTCAAAAGATGCGTGAACTTACCAATTTTGTGATTTTTTTTAAGGGGAAAAAAAGGCACTTGGGGGTGGCCAACATAGGATATAATAAACTTTTGATTTGTTATCTGTTGTTACTTTTTTTTATATATATATATAAAAATTGCATACATATTTGGAAAAAGCCTCCCCGCGTGCTGCAAAAGCACTTTGATGCATCAAATCAACATTCCTCCGTTTTCCCATTATTATAAAACAAAACAAAAATCACTCATAATTTAGTACTCTTCCGATCCTAAACGTAAAACCCTTATACTAATCCTAAATGTAAAACCCTCATACTAGTATGTATAAGGGTCTTATATTTAGGATCAGAGGAGTATTTTTTTTTATTCATATATGCCTTGTATTCCTTCCATGTATGATATATGGGACAGATAACTAATTTGTAAAACTAATAAAAAAAAGTATAAATTTAGAATACAAAATGAATTGATATATTATATTTAGTATCAAAGTAAATTTTCTAACTAATTATTATATTTAGGCTTCGATAAAGAATTATACTTTCATGTGAGTTAAGTCAATACGTTTTTTACCCAAAAAAAAGTCAATTCGCAAATAAACTTGCCGTGATAATTTTGATATTAAGATTTTTCGTGACTTCTCTTGCCCCTGTTTTTCTTAAAGATTTTCTTGGGGGTTGGGGGGGTCCTCTAATATTTTGTGTCTGTATTAACTTTACAGGATATTTTCGCATAGAATATCGCTTGCAATAAGTCATCACTATGAAGATATTCTATAATTACAAATTTAGTTTTATTTAAAGCTTTAAATTGATTTGTTAACTTAACACGTTATGTGTGAATATTATATAATTGATAGCTATTTATAACTTCAAAAAATGTTAGCACCCCCCGTCCGTCCTTTCTTTCTTTCTTTTTTTTATTTTTTCTTTAAACACAAGTGCAATCCTGTTCAAAGTATTGTCGGACATCAAATGTGAGCACCTCTTCTAGTAAGGGTTCAAACTTTAATTCATTATATTGTGATAGACTAATTTTTTTTACTAAACCCAACCCCTGTTGATTTTATTTATTTGCTTACTTTGCATTGAGTCAAACTCATCCTATTTTTTATCCATCCTTTATTCCCGCATGGTCACAACTTGAATGGTCCACCTCATCACCTCAACATCCGGACCCAATTCACGACTTAACTTGATCAGCCTTACTCAGGTCGGGCTAAATTCATCCGCTTTCTAAGAAGGTATTTGGATCAGCTCCTCCGAAGTATGTTTTTGGCAATTAATAGAAGTTGAACCTGACAGAAAGAGTTAGTCTTTTACAATATAATAATTCAATGTTTGTATCCCCAATAAGAAAAGTGACCACATTTAGTACCTTATAGCTCTTTGAACAATATTAACATTTTTCATGCAAATATGGACAAAACTCCTTTTATGTAAATTTTTTTTGGAAAAACTAATCCAAACACAGCCTAAAAATTGTTTTGGGCAACCAGATATAAAATGACATGAACATTCCGAAAGGTGATGCGTAATTGAGAAACACCCTATTGTGAAAATGGACACATGATAATGAGGCAAAAAAAAAACCCAAAATTTGGTGATACTAAGATTTTTGGAAAAAAAAATTCCAACCGTGTCATACTGAAATACTTAGTCTATACACATATTAAATTGTCAATTACAGTTTGTGGGATGACACCTTCAAGCATGCGAGGGTCCAAGTTTAACCGGCACGCACCTGCACGGTGATTGCTAATTATTAATTATATGTTTATTAAATGCCCAAACAGTGCCTTAGTCTCCCTCCCCACCCCTCCATTGATTCCACATTCTCGGAATATTCCTTTTATTCCGAAGCATCCTACTTACTCATCCAACCTTTCGTACACAAATAATTGAATTATATAAATTAAAAAGCTGGTTTAAATTCCCCCCCCCTTAAATATATTGTTATTCCTGAAAAATTAGTGAAAGAGAATGAATGGGAAGA